CAAGCAAGCAAGCAAGCAAGCAAGCAAAGGGAGAGGGAAAGGTTACATCCATGGCCCAGGTAGGTGGAGCCCCCTCAAACATTGGAGCCTCCCCGAACCTAGGGGACTTTACCAACAGAAAGACATGACTTCCTCAGCTGGAAGGAAATAACAACGTTGGGAAAAAAAAAGAAAGCGCAAGTCAATGAAATGGAACACCCATCTCAGGCACCAGGTTGCACTGCATGATACTGAAAGGTGGTTACTTCTTTAGTGTCCCTACCACACCTGGAAGAAACAACTTTGAGACACTTACTCTAGAGAGCAATTGTGCTAGTGATGCTGGATGTGCCCTTTGCGTTTCTAGCATTTCCGAACACTAACTTACACGGGGGTTGGGTGGTTGATGTTTCAGCTTGTTCATCACAAAACTGTAATGGTGCTAGTGATGCTGCATTAAAGCCCTTTGCTTTTCAACAATTTTCTGTACGCCAAGTGACATAAATTGAAGCGTAAACTGGAAGTTTTGTGGTTCACCCTTCAGCTTGTTCAAAAAGCAGCAATGGTGCGGGCGATGCTACTTTGGTCAAGTGCTTTTAGATGTTTGGCAACCTGCTGCTAGAGCAGCGAACGTGCAAGCAGTTGCATGTTTACCCCACATGTCTGAAAAGAAGGGTCTTTGGTCTCCAACCCCCAAAAGACATCGACATCCTGATCTCATTTCAGAAGGCAGGCAACCCATCCAAATCGACTTCTTCGGCCTTTCCCAAACCAACCTCTCAAATCAATCAAAGGGTTTCCACCAACAACGCTCGCCGCCCCTTCCGTACCTCGGCCATGGAGCCGTTCCTTCGCCTCCAAACGCTTCGTGAGATGAAAGAGAGAGCGCACGGCCGCAGGGTGTCGGGATGCATCGCTTTAAGTTGAATCTCAAATCCTGCTAAAGCTCTTCTGTAAAGCGCTTCAGCGTCTCCCCACCTTACCCAACTTCTCCGAGACAAAGTCGAGATTGTTCGCCTCTGTGAGGGTCTCGGGTCGTCCAGAAGCCCCGCCCGCGCGGCTCCGCATCTGCGAAAAAAGGCCACGGTCTTCCAGCACATCAGCCAACCTCGACCTGTGGCAGCTTCTTGGCAGCATAAGTTGAAGTCTGGAAGAATAGAGCATTCATGGAAAGCTAAAGGGTCCCACACCTTGGAGATGAAGAGATCTCTGGTGAAGAAATGTCTCTGCGAGAGGAAATCTCTAGTTCAGAAATCCCCAAAGCATTGACCTACATCTTCGGCCTCATGTCTCAAGCCGTTGCGAGTGAGGGGTGATGGGTCGCCCAACACGTTTGCCTCATGGTTTCCAGGCACATTTACAGGAGGATGTTCAGCTACCTTCGGAGAAGGGTGTTCCACAGGAGATGTTTTGACAGCGTCCAACAATGTGAACCAGGTCGAATGAGCTTCGCGTTTTCGTTGACACCGTCCAATTGCGAAGTCAGATAAGTCCAGGGCCAAGACGTCCGACTTCACAGAGGCAGCGGGTGAACACCAAAGTAAGAATACGGTGCTACCAAGCATATGATTGTCTCGGTCTCACTCATGCCTATCCGCCCTATCAGATACCCACTGATGCCTGGACTCAGAACTCTTCAGTCACCGTACGCCTTCTCAGCCTCAGGCATAAGCATCAAATCAAACAAAGCCGTCTAAAGAAATGACTCGTTGCTGGTTCACGACTCATTGATGTTTCAGGATGATCAAATATGTGCTTCGTCTCGAATCGATCTCTTTTGCAGTTCTGTGAGCTTCAGCTGAATCAGCAGAGTCACATGCGCTGCGGGAGCTCTTCCAAGAGCCCTGTCGGATGCAAAATCCACCCGTTGTACAAGAATGGAAGAACCATGAGAATTCTGGGACCAATTTCAGAAATTGCCCATCCAGCAAAAGCCTCCACCTATCCTACTTTTTGATAAGAGGACAGCTACCGGGCAGGTATTCAGCACAGTGTGTCGTCAATGAATCATATGCGTGCTAGATGAGAAAGCAATGACAAAAACACGGATCCATGGCTGACACAAAATGCCTGAAGCCCAACAAGCCACAAGAAACTATCTTGCAAAAGCTCAAATTTGGCTAGAACCGCCCAGGGAGGTGGAACGCAAACGATCCTTTCGGCACTTTGCAACTGTAGATCTCCCGCTATCTATGTTCAACCTCCTACCCCTCCGCACCTTTAAAAAAACTACTTCGCACCTCAGCTGGGCCAAGTGCTGCTGGAAGCGCTGCAGGTTTTGACGGCTCGCCTCGGTTTCCTCGTGGTCAGGGCGGAGCTCCTGCACAGATTCACTGTGGACTGCTTCCCTTTCAAACAATGAATCAAGGTGATTTTCGATCCAAAAGCCTCGGATGATGAACAATGCATTGGTGCTTCATCCGCTACTGAACCTACTCTTGAAGCCATTTAATGTTCTTCCGATGGCCGAGTCGGCCTTCATGGCATTCAGCTCTCTGAGATAGAGCTTTTCCGCCTGGAGATCGACCCAAGATTCCTATCCCCGCGGAAAGACCATCAACCGGATCGCTTGACAAAGAAGTGTGCGGTCAAACGGTCGTACAAACAATACATTGACATCGTTTGACCGCAAATCCGCATGTCAAAGTTGCAATCCGCCTTGCCTTTTTTCTGCAACTACTGGAGTAAACCATTCCCGTATTTAGAGCTACTCTTATTACGAGGGCAGCTAAAGAGACAACCATTTGTTGCAGCCTCCTTTGGGCCCAGGATTCTTTTCCAGCGGCAGCAAACATGAAGGTCGTTGCATGTTCATCCCACGTGTGACATGTCTGAAAACAGGGGCTGCTGCAAGGTACAGGTTGCTTTGATAGCTTACAAGGAACTTCAGCAGACAAAGGAACGAAGAACAAGACCATAACTACAACCAATTAAACACCTGTTCTGACATTCTCTGCGAATGCATCACGATATGGCTCTGAGACGTAAATGTCGGAGCCAAAGAGTTCCTATCAAAGGCAATAACACAATCGGAAAGAAATCCAGATCAAATAGCAACTTCGGGTTCAACCACCTAGAAAGCATGCATTGCTTTTAACCCAAGAGATTTCGACAGGGTTCCATTCACTTTGGGGTCTACTTCCTCGGCCAACCTCCCTCCCATCGACCGGAAAGCCCCCGCTTTGCGCCTCGGCCAGGGAGCCTTTCGCCTCCAAAAGCTTCGCGAGATTCCAAACGGAGCGCAGGGTGTGCGGATGGCGAGATCCGAGCTGCAGTTCAAATCCTTCCAAGGCCCTCCTGTGATGCAGCTCAGCCGTTTCCAGCTCCCCCTCGTCCTGTAGCAATACCGCAAGGTTGTTCACAGAAGCTAGGGTGGTAGGATGCATCCGGCCAAGCTGCACCTCACGTCCTTCTAAAACTCTCCTGTAAAGCAATTCAGCCTCTTCCAACTTACCCTGATTCTTTGCCAAGCCTGCAAGATTGTTGAGTGATTGCAGGGTATCAGGATGCCTGGCTCCAAGCTGCATCTTGCGTCCTTCTAGCGCTCTCCGGTACAGTGTGTCTGCCTCTCCTAGCTTCTCCTGCGCCTTCAAGACCCAACCAAGATTGTTCACACTCTCCAGGGTGTCCACATGCATTAATCCCAGTTGACGCTCACGTCCCCTCAACGCTCGTCTGGACAAGGCCTCTGCCTCCGCCAGCTTCCCTGCAAAGCCTAACGTGAATGCCAGATTGTACACCGCCGTGAGGGTCTCCGGATCCTCGGCACCATTCCGCGCTTCGTAGGCCTCGAGCACTCGCCGGTGCAGTGGCTCCGCCTCCTCGAAGTCACCACGCGCAGTCAGCACCCTCGCCAGCCTCGGCCAAAGGCAAATGGTGGAAATAATCTTCACAGGTGAAGTTGGGGTTTGACAGAAGGCATTTGCATCTTTGGGTTGGTTTGTTTCTTGTTGCATTGCTCCCAAAGTCGGAAAATCTTTGGAAATCCAGCACTCGGCTTGTTTGAGCAAAAATATGTTAAAACTACTGTCCATCACGAATGGCTACTTGATCGTGCGCGTGCAAAAAACGGATTAGCAAAGCTGCACCACTTCAAGCCGACAGTTTGAGCTTGCGGCATCCACCGACCGAGCCATTTTGGTCCCTTTAAGGTGGGAGCTTGCCAACGTAACAGCAAGAAGAATGTCACCTAGACCGCCTGTTGAAACCAGGGCCTCTAGATTTCAAACTGGTCTGAACCTTGGCCCCTGCATTTACAACTCTCCCACATAAGAATGAAGACTCCGACTCCGACCCTTTTCAATCCATTCGCTGATCTCTCTCTCTCTCTCTCGCTCTCTCTCTCTCTCTCTGTCTCTTTCTCTCTCTCTCTCTCTCGTATCTGTCCCCATCTCTCTCTCAACCTGTCTGTCTGGCCGAGCCACCTCTTTTCGCAACATCTATGCAACACAGAGATTCCCAGTGGTGAATGAGCACCACCCCACACCAAAACCTCCAAAATCCCAAATTGTGGGCTTGCAAAAAGAAGAAAGGATTATGTCTTGTTTTTAACTTTGCTTTGGAGATTGCCAGCAGGCCACTTTAATGGGACATTTTCTGTAGGGATCTTTGACCAACAAACCCCCAACCCAGATGATGTTGTGGCCATGACTGGAACAAAACGCTGCACTCCTCCTACGATGTGAGGAAAAAGAGACGAGAAGCAAGGGTGTTCGACATAAAACGGCAAGGCCAACACCCAAAGACAGCCGCAGACCACCAGGTCTCCATCGCAAAAACAGGCGACCCCAGCAACCCACCGCACCCAAAAACAGCCGGATGGCAGTCAGAGACACCCAGCCAGAGGCAGATGAGGTTTCTTTCAGTTTTCCTTCATCTCTGCGCAGTCAGAGCAATCTATGTGCTTTTGGCCTGTAGCACAGAGATGCACTGCGCACCCAAAAAGGTTTACATACTCAGCGCGGATCCTAGATGACATTGAAACCCATGTTCCCACAGACTCCAGGAAAGGTTGCGGTGCAGACACATAAAAGTCCAAGCAATTCGGGATCCTGCAAGACAACCGCCCCGCGGAAGGATCAGAAGTGAGGAAAATGGAATGGAGGTCAAACTTAACTAGGGAGAGCCGGAAATGTTGGCTTCCGGTTGCTCGGCCAGCCGCCTGTTTCACGGCTGACCTCCTCTCAACGTCCGAGACCGGGTTGCCGAAGGTCCAGGAGAGCTATATGGTCACTGCAACAATGAAGTGCCGGGATGCAAGGGGCAATCCAAAAGAAAAAGACGTATTGAGAGCAACACCGGGCGTGATTCACAACCACTGGATCACAGATTCAGAAATGACAAGTCAACATCCTCACTGCCGAAGGAGCCGACCTTATGAAGCAGACGACCTGATGTTGTAGGCTCGGTGACCCCCTAAGTAACATGGTAACATGGCCCCAAACACTTAGATCTCATCATGCTTAGGGGGAAAAAAACTGTCTTGTTGGTGAAAAGACCAAGGGCCCAGCCGGCTTGATGCCTTGAGACTGTCGGAATGCTCCGAGCCTAGGCTCTCTCTGATGGCTTCAGCGCGGCAGCGGAGCCTTGGTGACGAAAAATATCACTCAAAGGACATCTTTCGTCCTCACAACGTTCACATCGACACTGAACATTGGGATGCTGCATCACTCGGTCTAAGAATGCGAAGAGCTTGGTAGGGGTGGTTGGACCATTGGAAGTCCTTTTAAAGGCGAACCTCGCTGTAAAATGCTGTAAGTAGTGTGAGCAACATACTCAAGCATCCGGACTCGAACAGTCTGGTGCAGTTAGAATAAAGTTGTGTGCCCAAGAGTTGTTTTGGATGCTTTTGCCTGAGTCGGACAATCCTGCAACTTCATACAATCTGGCAACCTAAAACTCAACCGAAGAGTGGCAAGTTCAACAGACAGCTACTGACGCGCAATGAAAAAACAACGTCACCATCAGGAGAATCCGCAAGAGAGCCTGTTCCTCATTCCACAACAGTGTGCTTGCGTGTTGCTTCAAATACTGTCTTTTCCCGGCAACTTGCAAAGTACAATTTGTCAGATGATGTCCCGCCTTACCTGTTGAAGTACCGGTTGATGGGTAAGCATTCCCTGCTGAGCTGCATCACGATGGAACATAGTGACATAGCCACATAGCATAGAAATATGCAGCCAATGGCTGTCAAGGAAACATTTCGAGCCGTGTACAATGTTGAGATACACTTTGAAGTGCCGAACACACTGTGGCCTGCATTACCCCTTGGCAATCTGAATTTCTAGTTTCTGATCGCAAACAAGTGTCGATTCCACCAGCACTGCATTGGCGTTGCCAACCTCTTCCGCCCTTTCTGGTCGGATGACGATACATTGTCGAGGTGGCATACCATCTTCGTTGAGCTGCTTTCCAGCCAAATTCCTTGGGCGGAACTGAGCCTAACATGGTCCAATAGTATCGAGTCAGTCGCACAGTCCCACATAAATACATAGGACATAGGAGATGCGAACTAGGTGTCCGGCACACCAACGGGATTCCCCTGTGAAAGAACAAAGAGGAAGCACACACAAATGATCTTGTACCCTTGCAAAAACAAGCCTAAAACAACCTAACCACTTCCACAACTAGTTGCAAAAAATGAATCCGGCTTCTCCTGCTCGACCATTTCAGGCGTTTGTCTCTTGGACACATCATAGGCGATGGATTCATCGACCAAGATAGGTATACAGAAGGCAACCCTTGACCTGTACTCCTCCGTCAAGAAATGTAAATGGCACATGCATCCACAAGAAGTCTTACTTGCAGTGTTCTCTGATACTTCTGGACAAATTAGACTGGCAAAAGGGCATCACCAAGGAACACACAGGAGCTCTCTCCTCCACAGCTGCCTCACGACCTTTCCTTTCGGTGTCCCTCTTGAGCATATTGCGGTAGTTGTTGTCAATGAGTGCTTCGATATTTGGCCATTCATCTGGCGGCCTCTGCACAGAATAAACTCCTGGCCAATGCAACTCTCTGGCACAAAGATGTGTTGGTATGAATGAGTGCACTGTCCCAAAGCTTTCAATCTTAGCACGAACTGTGAGACACTCTGTGTCTACTCTCTGGCGCATATGATGTGCATGCCCAATTCTTTGGCAGTCCAGTTCTAAACGATTTGGTGCAAGCAACCAGTCTTGCCTTGTCCCCACCAGGCGTTGGCCTTCTCACCCCTCGTTATCAGAGAAGCCTGTCGATACGGAAACGACAGGAGCTGACTAAACGGGATGCATTGAAGGAGAGACAATGACTTTCACATACATCTCATAGGATACTGAGGGCATCGCAAAGACTTCTACCACTGTCTTTCTGAGATCCGTGATGTTCTTAAAGCCAAGCTCAGTGGTGTAGTGGAAAAAACACTGCACATCACTGGCACCGCTGGCTTGAGTCAGGTCCAGGGCATCCTGCCAAACCTGAGAGGAAGTTAAGTGTGAAAGGTGTCTCAAAATAAGCAAATATAAGCAAATGCCATAGGTTGGAGGCCATCGCTCTTAGGTTGGAGGCCATCGCTATAGTAGCTTGGAGGCCATCGCTATTAGCTTGGAGGCCATCGCTATTAGCTTGGAGGCCATCGCTCTTAGCTTGGAGGCCATCGCTCTTAGCTTGGAGGCCATCGCTCTTAGCTTGGAGGCCATCGCTCTTAGCTTGGAGGCCATCGCTATTAGCTTGGAGGCCATCGCTCTTAGCTTGGAGGCCATCGCTCTTAGC